ATCCATCTTCTCCAGATTCCATTAAACCCCATCCTCATCATCATATAATCAATAAAATCCCAACACACCTTATCATATGCTTTCTCAAAGTCAACTTTGAAGAGGAAGCATCTTTTCTTCCTTCTTTTAACTTCATCTATAATCTCATTTGCAATCACAACTCCATCCACAAGTTGTCTCCCCTCTATAAATGCCATCTGCTGATCCCCGATTACCTTGGGTAGCACCTTTCGTAATCGGTTTGCTAATAGTTTTGCAATGATCTTATACATGACCTTAATGAGTGATATGGGTCTATATTCTTCAATACCCTGAGGATTTTCTTTCTTGGGGATTAACATAATAAAAGATGCGTTTGATCCTTTGACAAGTCTACCATTGCTATGAAACTCTTGCACAAAGTCCACAATATCAGATTTTATGTCCTCCCACATTGTCTTAACAAAGCTGAAATTAAATCCATCTGGGCCTGGAGCTTTGGAAGAATCACAATTCCAAATTGCTTCTTTAATCTCCTCTTTTGAGAATTTAGCTGTAAGGATTTCATTATCAGCTTGTGATATTTGATTGAAGCTAATCCCATCCAGCTTTGGTCTCTGCCATTTCTCTTCTGTGAACAAATCCTGAAAGTATTCAGCTACCTTTTCTTTTATCTCCTTCACCCCTGTGTGTTGTTCCCCATTGATTCGAATACAATTAATTTCGTTTCTTCTCCACCTTCCCTTCACGCATCTATGAAAAAATTTAGTGTTAGCGTCTCCTTTTCTCAACCACATCTTTCTTGACTTTTGTTGCCATATCCTCTCTTTAATCCTTAGATTCTTCCATAAATCAACAAAGCTGATTCTCTTCTTTTCAATATCATCTGCTGACAGTTGAGTCTTCTCACCCTTTTCATCAATTCCAGCTATCACATTTTCAGCTTCTTTAATTTTGCCATCCACCTCATTTATCGATTTACTACTCCATTCCTTTAGTGCTTGCTTTGTGTTTTTCAGTTTTTCCTTGAGCTTGAAACCCTTCCACCCGTTCACCTCTTTGTGATTCCACACGTCTCTAATCACCTCTTTGCAACCTAGTTGATCCAGCCAAGCATCGAAAAATTTGAAAGGTTTTGGACCCCAATCAACCTTCTCATTCTTCAGTAAAATAGGGCAATGATCCAATACTGACCTGCTTAATCCCCATTGCTTCACATCGCTCCACTCCGTTATCCAATCTTACGATAACAGGAATCTATCAATCCTGCTCATTTGCTGCCCATTTGAGTTATACCATGTGTATTTCCTCCCTAGCAAAGGCAAGTCAAGCAATTCAGCATTATGAATAAATTCATCAAATTCCCTCATTTCTCCGAAAGTTCTAGTGCATCCTGCCCTTTCCTCTACTCTTCTCACAGCATTGAAATCTCCTGCCAAGCACCACTTCCCCCTTCTGTTATTCATCAAGTGTTGAAGCCCCTCCCATAAGGCTCTCTTGCCCATTAACTGACAAGGTGAATAAATATTTACGATGTTCACAGGTAGCTTATTCTCCCCCCATAATCCATAAACCCCAATGAAGTTCTCCCCTTCCAGAACCTCTTCCTTCTTGAGCACTTTAGAATTCCAAACACACAATAGACCCCCTGACATGCCATTCGACGGTTTTGACACCCAATCAAGATCCTCTGTCCCCCAAACCCTTCTACAAATATTCCTATCAACAATCTCTAATTTGGTTTCCTGAATAGCTAGAAACTCTACTCTTTCCTTGATCACTAACTCCCTAACTTGTCTTTTCTTCTCGACCCCTCCGAGATCCCTTATATTATATGAGAGCAATATCATTAGTATCTTGACATACCTTCGAATTGACACCCATATCTCGGTTTGCCATGTTTGTTTTTGCTTGTCTGTCCCTCTCCTCTAGCTCCTCAATTCTTTCAATCATCTCATCGTCATCCTCCGCCACTACTCCAAGCTGCTTCGCCAAGTCCCATATCTCCTTTGCTAGCCGATTCTACATCTTTTTCTTCAGAAATCTATTACAATTCTGAATGTTTGCTATCCCCAATTGAATCACCTACAACTAACCCATTTGGATTTGGCAAAATTTTTTGTGCTAATTTCCTCTCCATCGGCTGCATGCTTTGTTTTCCTCTTCCTCTTCTTCCTTTTGCTCCTGTGACTTCTACACTTGTGTTTGAGTATAACAAGCTACACTTTCTAACTTTCCTTCCCTTTTTCTTTGCAATCTTCTCCATCTGCTTGCTCATCCAGTCTTCTAGTCGCCCTTTCTCCATTTCGAAGCCCTTCCAGAACACATCCTCACCCACCTCTTTGTTGCTATCGTCTGAGTCATTTGTGTTACTGTATTTGTCTTCTTTGCTATTCAGGTTTGTCCTCCTTCTTACTGTCTTCATATGGGCTTGACCCATATTTGTGGACTCCTCCACATCTGGGCTTTTTCTTTGTGTATTGGGCTCACTACCCAAATTCTTCTCGGCCAATTCCTTGCAGCTCATTTCTATTCCAGCTTCTTCACTACACTCTATTATTGGATTCTGCACTTCTTGCTGTGATGTCATCCCTCCTACCCCTACTTTTCTATTTCCTTCATTCAAATTTTGAAATTGTTCCAGGCTGTCCCCAATCGTTGCAACTTGTTCCTGTTCCTGATCCTTCTAACTTATCTGCACCTGAGTCCCCCTCTTCTCGGTTTTCCCTGCTTCCGAGACGTCATCATCTTCTTCACCGGCATCATCAAAGTTAACCAGTTCATCATTCTTTGCATAATTGAATTTCTGCTCCTCCAATTCTGCCTCACTGGTCCACACCTTGTGCTCCTCTGAGTCACTTTCAAATGAAGGCATGAAGTCTTGTTTCAAGGAGAAAAAACTATTAGTGAACTCCTCCTCTGTAAATTTAACAGTATATATGCTTCCGTTAATCTTTACTTGTCGTAAGACTGTGATTGTATCCATAATTGGAGTAGAGATCAAGAATCTAGCAATGTCAAACCTCCTCCTTTTGCTTGTATTATCATCCACACATATGAATTTACCCCATGAACAGCTCATGGTTGAAAAGAAATCAGTTCCTCAGGCATTTAATGGTACTCCTTGACACCTAATCCACACAAACCTCTCATTTGCAACCATTTCAGGTGACCAAGGATGCACCTCTTTGAACCATTGCCATAGCCAATCTGATGCCATTTCAACCAAGTCCTTTAATTCCTCCTTATCCTGACAATCTAATAATACTAATCTACCTCCCATCGGTCTAATTTGGCATGAGAAGTACCCTTCCATAAAGAACTTCTCCTGTAAATTCTGAACCATTTCAACGGAGTGTACTGTACCAACGTAACACCCCTCAAGCCATGCATACTCCTCTTGTTTTATATTATATTCCATCCCAACCGATTTTTCTCCTTTTCCTCTCTCTTACCATTGTTTTCTGTTTTCCGTCCTCTAGTACCCATTTCTATGTCTACTTCTGCTTCTTCCTTGTCTGCTTTGCTCTGTATACTCCCCATCTCCAATGTCATTCCTCCCAAATCGATTCTGATTTGCTGTACTCTGTGATATCCTTTCCTCCTCCCTGTCATACTCTTTCCATCCCTTCAGCACCTCTACATAGCTCCTCTTTCGATTCATTGTTGCCACTTCATTGATTTTTCTTCCCTTGACTTCCTTCTTTCCCTCAGCAAATCTTGGTCTATTTACCCATAATTTCTGCCCTCTAATCCATATTTGATCCAGTTGTCTTTCTAGTTCATTTCTATCTGACACCCCCAGAAATCTCACAAATCCAAATCTGCCACTGTTCCTGCTCTTCCTGTTTGGGCTATAAATGTCATAAACCCTTCCAAATTTCAGGAATGTCTTCCACATGTCTTCATAGCTCCAGTCATTTGGATAATTGGTAAAGAAATAAGGAGTGGCTTGTTTGTATAGACCCCAGTTGTAAATTCCATGCTTTTGTGTCTTCCAATCCTGGTGCTGAACATCTTGCACTCTTCTCTGTTTTACTAGCTCAAAGCTTCTTCCACGAGTCTCTTCATGCTCTCGATTCAGTGTCATCCGGTTTGCCAGTGAGCTGTGTCCGCCTTGTTTCCTTCTCACTCTCTCTCTCATTTTTTTGTTTTTCCTTCCATGTTAATTTTAAATCTGTGAATCTTCTTGATTTTTTGCTTTGCCTATGCATAATATTGTTTACTTCGTATTAACCTTCAAATTAAACTTCTATATTTATTTTACGCAGCAAATGAATCATTTGAGAAGGTTGTTGATTCGGGCTCCAAGCAAATATGATCTTATACTTTAAAATAAAAAAAGAAAAAAGTATCACCTTTCTAATGCGGCTGGAGCCTATGTGTTGTTTCTCCGGTCTGCTATCTCCAATTTCTTGCCCACCATTGGTGCTTTCCTCTCTGATTCTTTCCTTGGCTGGTTTCGTGTCATCGGCATCGGAACAGTCATCAGTCTTTCGGTAAGAAAACCAGTAATTATCGTAAAGAATAAGATATGTTTTTAGTTGCTCAACCTTTGGAGCCCGTCGGAAGGTTGTCCCACCCTTAAAATGATAAAAAGTTAAGGATCCAAGCGCTCAACTTTTAAAGTTTAGGATGATTTTGAAAATAAGCCTAATTAAGATTGATACTAAAGAAATTTAATATTCTTCGATCAAACTCAGCAGAAATGTTCATTGATCACAGGGAATGACAGTGTCATGGTTAACAGCAATCCTTCCAGTGGCAAGACCTCCGGATTGCTATAGCCAGAACGTACAAAACTCTCTGTCCCCAGGGTCGGCGCGGCTGGCCTTGCTGTTCTCTTCACTTGCTCTCATGTCCATTGGAGGTGGAGGTATCCGGCCGCGTTCGTTGGCCTTTGCTGCTGACCAATTTTACAATCCCAACGACCCAAAAAATAAGAGGGTCCTGCAGACCTTATTCAATTGGTATTACACTTCAGTCGGGGTTTCGATCACCATCGCTGTCACCGTTATAGTTTATATTCAAGACAAAATTGGATGGGTCGTGGGGTTAGGAATTCCAGTGGGACTCATATTTTTCTCCACCGTAATGTATTTCCTGGGCTCTGCCCTCTACGTTAAAGTGGATGCTAACAAGAATTTGTTCACGAGCTTCGCACAAGTCATTGTAGCTGCTTGGAGGAAGAAACACCTACCTTTGCCGCCCAGAGACAAAGATGGATTCTACTACCACAAAAGATCAAAGATTATTGCACCAACAGAGGAAATAAGGTACTTAATTTGTACATTAATCATAGCTTTTGAGGCATTTTTGAGAATCGCCAATAAGCTTGGAGGCATAAGATTTAATTTATTATTTTGTTCTTTATACTATACTAATTATACTATTTCAATTTTAGTCCTTAAACTTTTAATTTTAAATATTTTAGTTTTTAAATTATTTTTTGTATTTTTAATTCTTAAATTATAAAAAAATACACTTTTTTAATTCTTATCAGTTAATCTGTTAAATTGTTTATATCTAAAAATGTATATATATATAAGTTTAAGACTAAAAATGTATATATCTAGATAAATTTAATAAATGAACTCTTAAAATAACAAAAAATATATATTTTTCAAAGTTAAAAAACAAAAAAATACAACAAAAATTGAGAGATGAAATTTGTTCAAAATTAAAAGTTGAAAAATTAAATTTGAAATTTAACCTTTATGCTAGCAATTGTTTAATTCCTCCACTCAACCTATATCTAAATATTTAGTTAAAAAATATTAACTCAATTAAATTTTTGTTGATTTTTATTTGTTTATTTCTAATTAGTAGTTTATATATATATAATATCTCAGCTTTCTTAACAAAGCTTGCATCATAAGAAACCCACGTAAGGAGTTGCATTGTGATGGTTGGGCTATAGAGCCATGGAGTCTCTGTTCTGTGAGACAAGTTGAAC